AAGTTTTCTATCTGTATTGGGGTCAATTTTGGTACACTGATTCCTCCATTTCATCTGGGTTTTAAAGTTTATTTGGCTAGAAGTTGGTAGTCTCATGATTTAAAAAAAATTCTCAGTATCAAGAGTTGCTTTTCTCATATCATTTCTTACTTTGTATATTGTACTTTCTGGCATTTTTTTTTTTTTTCTGATCAAGTTGGCTAATATATACCTGTTATGGATTTTTCTTTTGAAGGAGCCACGATTTTGATTTCTTAATTTGGTCTACTGCTTTTCTTTTCTTTATTCTATTAATTTTCGCTATTTTCCTTATTATTTTCTACCTTGTACTCTCTCTTGGTTTATTTTATTGTTCTTTTTCTAGTTTTTTATTTAGTATTTAATGTATTTATTTGCATTCTTATTGCTACTTTTTTTTTTTTTGCTTTGTTCATCTATTTGTATGTGAATGTGTGTTTGTGTTTGTGTACGCATGTGTCTTTGTAGGTTTTTTGTTGTGGTAAAATGCACACAACATAAAATTTACCGTCTTCACTATTTTTAAATGTGCAGTTCAGTGGTATTAAATACATTCACATTGTTGTCCCTTCTCACTCCCATCCATCCCCATAATTCTTTTCATCTTGTAAAACTGAAATTCTATACCTGTTAAAATAACTCCCCATTCTCTCCTCTCCTCAGTCGCTGGTGACCACCATTATACTTTCTGTCTTTATGATTTTGACTATTCTAAGTACTTCATATAAATGGAATCATCCAGTGCTTCTCTTTTTGTGAGTTGTTTTTTCACTTAACGTGTCCTGAATGTTCATCCATGTTGCAGCACATGTCAGAATTTACCTTCTTTTTAAGGCTGAAAATAGTACATTGTATGTATATACCACCTTTTGTTTATCAATTCATCCATCGATGGATACTTGAGTTGCTTCCATATTTAGCTATTGTGAATATTGGTGCTATGAACATGGGTGTACAGATATGTTTTTGAGACCCTGCTTTCAACTCTTGTGTATGTACCCAGAAGTAGAATTCCTGGATCATATGAAAATTCTATTTTTAATTTTTTGTGGAACTGTCATACTGTTTTTCACAGTGTCCGTACCAGTTTGTATTTTCACCAATAGTGTGCCAAGTGTTCCAATTTCTCCACATCTTTGTCTACAGTTCTTTTTTTGATGATAGCCTTCCTAATGGGTGTGAGGTGGTATCTCTTTGTAGTATTGATTTGCATTTCCCTAATGATCAGTGGTGTTGAGCATCTTTGCACGTACTTATTGGCCATTTTTGTGATCTTCTTTGGAGCAATGTCTATTCAAGTCCTTGGCTTGTTTGTGAATGGGGTTGTTTGTTTTTTTGTTGTTGCATTTTAGAAGTTTTCTATGTATTCTGGATATTAATCCATTATCAGATATATGATTTGCATACATTTTCTTTATTCTGTGGGTTGCCTTTTTGCTCTGTCGATACTGTCTTGTCATGCAGAAGATGTTTAATTTTCACAAAGCTCAAGTTGTTTATTTTTTCTTTTGTTACCTGTGCCTTAGGTGTGATACCCAAGAAATTCTTGCCAAATCCAATGTCCTGAAGCTTTTGTTCTATGTTTTATTCTAAGAGTTTTATTGTTTTAGGTCTTACATTTAGATCCTTGATCTATTTTGAGTCAGTTTTGTATATGGTGTGAGATAAGAGTCCAACTTTATTCCTTTGCCTGTGGATGTCCAGTTTTCCCAGAATCATTTGTTGAAAAGATTGTCCTTTCTCCATTGAATAGTCTTGACACGCTTGTGAAAATTCATTTGACCATCTACGCCAGGATTTATTTCTGGGTTCTCTATTCTATACATATATTCTATTCATATATAGTATATGTCTGTCCATGTACCAGTAGCACACTGTTTTGATTAGTGTAGGTCTGTAGTAAGTTTTGAAATTACAAAATTTTAAATTACAAAACTCTGCCAGTTTTGTTCTTCTTTTTCAAGATTGTTTTGGCTATTTGAGGTCCCTTGACATACCATATGAATTTTAGGGTGGATCTTCTATGTTTTATTGCTATATGTTTTTTTTATTGCTGTGTGTTTTTAAGGCTATGATTTTTTGTTTTGTTCACTGATTAAATATATCCTTTTTATTTTTTTTTTTTTTTATTTTTTTATTTTATTTTTTTTTTTTTAAAGATTTTATTTTTTCCTTTTTCTCCCCAAAGCCCCCCGGTACATAGTTGTGTATTCTTCGTTGTGGGTTCCTCTAGTTGTGGCATGTGGGACGCTGCCTCAGCATGGTCTGATGAGTAGTGCCATGTCCGCGCCCAGGATTCGAACCGACGAAACACTGGGCCGCCTGCAGCGGAGCGCGCGAACTTAACCACTCGGCCACGGGGCCAGCCCCTATATCCTTTTTATTTTGATAAGCAATCTCTTCATTATTTTTTCATAAATTCTGTATTTTCTGTTTTATTTCCTTTTTATTCCAAAGATATTTAATAGAAGGCCTAAAAATTTCTATGTGGAAAGGTTTTTTTATTTTTAAAAATTTCTACTTTTATTGCATTGCAATTAGAAAGCATTGTTTGTACGATTTCCCCTTTATGGAAGTTAGTAATGTTTTCTTTGATTTACTGTATGGTGAATTTTTGTAAATTTTCCACGTATTCTTGAGAAGAAGATATATTTTCTGGTATTAGGAATGGTGCTTGATATTTCTCCCCATCTGTTGTGTGATATTATTTTGTTGATCTTCCATATCTTATTTTCTTGAACTTGACATGTCATGTCCTGAGAGTGGTATGTTAAAGGCTCCTATTATTAGTGTGATTCTGCCTGCTTTTTCTTCCATCATCTGTGGTTTCTGCTTTAAATAGGTACTGCTGTGTCTGTAGTGCGTGTATTTGATCATAACTATTGTATCTTGTGATTTCATGACTTTTAGCATTAAAAACTGATGTCGTTTAATGAGGTTTTGATCAAATTCTACTTTGTCTGATTTCAGGATTCCAACCCCAGCTTTCTTGTCATCTTGTCATCTATGCTTGCCTGGTATATCTGTGCCTTTATTTTTAGCCATTTGAATTACTTTTATGTGTTTTTCTTCTACGTAGCCCATAGTTGGGTTTTGCTTCTTGGGCCAATTTGAAAATCATTTTCTTTTTTTTTGGTGAGGAAGATTTGCTCTGAGCTAACTTCTGTGCCAATGTTCCTCTGTTTTGTATGTGGGTTGCTGCCACAGCATGGCTGATGAGTGGTGTAGGTGCTTCCCCAGCATCCAAACCTGGGTGCTGAAGTGGAGCACGCCAAACTTAACCACTAGGCAACTGGGCTGGCCCCTGAAAACCTTTTTAGTTTAGTAAGCAAATCACTCTCATTCTTATTTATTGAAATGACTGACGTTTAGTGTCAACGTTGTCATATTATTATGTTTTACTGTGTGTATTGTGTTATAATTAGTTTTCGTGTTAGTTCCCTAGGGCTTCTATAACGAGTAACCACAGACTTGGTGGCTTAAAACAACAACAGTTCATTCTCTCACAGTCCTGGAGGCTAGGTGTCCAAAATCAAGGTGTTGGCAGGAGCATGATCCCTCTTGAAGGCTCTAGGAAAGAATCCTTCCTCGCCTCTTCCTGCCTTCTGGTGGTTGCAGGTGATCCTTGGCATTCCTTGGCTTGCAGCTGTTTCACTCTCGTTTCTGTCTCTGTCTTCCTGTGGTTGTCTTCCCTCTGTGTGTCTATCTTAGTCCATTTGGGCTGCTGTAACAGAATACCACAGACTGGGTTGCTTATAAACAACAAATGTTCATTTCTCACAATTCTGGAGTCTGTGATGTCCAAGATCAAGTTAGCAGTAGATTTGGTGTCCAATGAGGGTCTGCTTCCAGTTCTTAGCTGGCTGACTTCTCGCTGTGTCATCACATGGCAGAAGGGGTGAAGGAGCTCCCTGAGGTCCCATAAGGGCACTAATCCCATTCATGAGGGCTGTGTCCTCATGACCTAATCACTATGCAAATATCTCACCTGCAAATAGCATCATATTGGGTATTAGGTTCCAACCTATGAATTTTGGGAGGGCAGGAGCATTCAGCATATAGCAGTGTCTGTGTCCAAATTTCCCTCTTTTTCAATGGATACCAGTCATTGTATTAGGACCCACCCTAATCCAACACGGCATCATCTTAACTTGATTACATCTTTAAAGACCCTATTTCCAAATAAGGCTACATTCGCAGGTTCTGGGTGGACATGAGTTTTGGGGGGACATTACTCTACCCAATGTGCCGTGTTTTTTTTTCTACATGGTATGTCTTCTTTGCTCTTTCTAAATGTAATACCTTTTGACATTTAAGAAGGTTTATATTTTTGTTCTATGTCGATTGTAGTATTTAGTCATTTCATAGATCCTTAATCCCACTTTTCCTTATTTAATCTTTTGCTATCTGGTTGATCAGTACTTTATATTGTGATAAAATACACACAACATAACATTTACCATCTTCACCTTTTTGAAGTGTACAGTTCAGTGCTACTAAGTACATTCACATTGCTGTACAACCATCACCACCGTCCATCTCCAGAACTCTTTTCGTCTTGCAAAACTGAAGCTCCATACCCACCAAACAATAACTCTTCATTCCACTCCCCCCTCAGCCCCTGGCAACCCCTGTTCTACTTTCTGTCTATGAAGTTGACTAGGTACTTCGTTACGTCGTGTTTGTGGAACCATACAGTATTTGTCCTTTGGGGACTGTGGCTGATGGTCTGTCAGCTTTCAATGACATCTTGTGATTTTCATTTCTCACCTGGAAAACTATTAGGTTTCTTATTCTACTTCCCCCTTTTTTTCCTATACTCCTCCGACTTTTGGTTGCGTTATTCTCACTTTCAATGTTTATGTGTTATTCTTAAGTGCATGTCCCTACCCTTGTTTTAGTCTGAGATGTAGAATTAAATCTATGAAACTTTTCCATTCCTCTCTTGGTTGGATGAAGCTTATCCAGTATGGATTCCTGAGGATGAGCTCGTGAGTATAGTATTTTCTGAGTTCATGCAAGTTGACAACTGTTTTTCAGTACACTTGATACTTGGAGGACAATACTGCTGGCTATAAAAATACTTATTTCACACTTCATTTCCTTGAGTTTCTTGAAAATGCTCTAATCTTGATTGATTTCTTTATTGTTCTTGAGAAGCAAGATGCTAGCCTAACTTTCTTACCCTTAAAAGAAATTGGGTCTTTTTTTTTTTCTGGAGTCTATGAGGATTTTCTTTTCTCTGTCTTTAACATTGAATAGTTTTACTAGGATGTATATTGGAATTGGTTATTCTGTTCCAATGTTTCCAGGCATAGGGTGAACCCTTGAACATGTAGATTTGAATTTTCTCTTATTTCTAGACAGTTTTCTTGAAGGTTTCAAATATCGTGTTGCATATTTTTGTCTTTTCGTTTAGCTCTTTCAGTTATACACATGTTGGCCTATCTTTTCCTGTATTCCGTTTCACTCCATTTCATTTGATTACTTTTCCATGAAAACGAGATATTAGCCTTAGAAAGAATAGAATGATTTTTCACTTGCACCTAAATTTGAAATCATCTTCATAATATTGCCTACCTAGTTATATGAAGTGTATTTTTGGTCTGTTGTGGTTGTCTTTAGCTTTGATCAAAGGTTATCATTTGATGGGAAAATAAACATCTGCAAAAATTACATCTATTTAAGTGTAATATCCTCCCAGGACATTAGGCAATATTGGAAGCTATTTATGGGCCGTAGCTTGCTCTGTAATTGATTTTACTTTGATTGACTTTGCTATCACTTTGCTAATGGGGAATTATTATTCTACCCCAGAAAAGGTAATCCAGGATGGAAAAATAATCCCTCAAGGATAAGAAGAGGCAGGATAGCACTCAAAGAGGAAGTACCAGGATTTTCTGCATGTTGTCCCTTCTGGCCAGATAAATGTTTCAAATTTCTGAGCCTGCTCAGGTGTCTAGTTAATTGTGTGAGTAGGTGGATGAGTTGGGAGGAGGAGAGACATAAGCAAAATTGATGACCTAAATTTGACAGTACTTCTGACCTGATGGATTGGTTCTATACAGTTTGAGGTAAACAGAATTCTGTACTCTGACACTAGAGGGAGTCAGAGAAGAATAAGTTTTTTACTGATTTGACAGAATTGTCATGATGACACATGGTAGTGCCGGGAAGCACAGGAGAATGGGTCACCGGGTAAGCTGGAAAAATCCTGAGGAGGAGGTGCTGGAAAATCTGGACAAATTGGGCAGGATGAGTGGAGGAACTCTTTGCAAGGCCTGCTTTCCTTATCTAACTTTGTTCTCAGTTATGCTGTGGGCAGAGTGTGGCTCATATTATATATTTGTTGAACTGAATTAAAATGGAAACTCTCATTTGAAACTCTAGTTTTTTCCCTAAAACCATTATTTTGATCGGGGTTCCAAACATCTATAAACTGACATTGCGTAAAAATCTCTCTCTTGTACTTTCTAGGCCGAAAACCTCTCAGACACTGACCTGCAGTCCAAGGTGAACACGTTCCTGTTGGCAGGGCAGCACACCACGACGGGGGGCATGTCCTGGCTCCTCTACCACCTGGCTCTGAACCCTGAGCATCAGCAGAGATGCCGGGAGGAGATCAGGAGCATCCTGAGAGACAGGTCCTCTATTACCTGGTGAGATCTGCATCCCTAAGCATTTCATCCTAGTTCTCCTCCTTCTTTCCTCTTGTACCTGGTAACCATAGTGATGAAGATATGTGTATGTGGAAGCAGAAGAGGTGGACTACCATTCTGCTTTTTTTCTAGAGGGCCCCAAATTATCCTTTTGCTTTTGCAAAAGAAGTTCATTTATCCTTACGTTGTCTGTTTCATTGTTTTTCTAATCAGTGACATGTGAAATGCCCTATTTCTTTCTTTTACCCAGGCTCGGGTGCATTGGAAATGGGGTTTGCTCCCTAGACTTGCATTTAGAGTTTGAATGGTTTGGCTCAAGTGGGCTCCTCTTCTGAGGGACTGGAGTGAGTATCTGCATCATTTAAGCCTCATCATGGACATTCTCTCCCATCCCCTTGTTCGCTCGTCGGGATTGGCTTTGGACTTTGAACATCGTGCTAAATGATACACACTGATGTTGCCAGGGATGAAAGCAAAGTCCAGAGGCTCTGTTGCCTACCATTTGTTGTAAGGAGAGAATCGCAATAATATTTTAGAGAATAAAATGTTTTTATTCCACAATATGGCCTTATAGTTACATTTAATGAAATTTCTGCATAGCATTCTGAGAACTTATAGTTTTTTTCAACAGATAATAAAACCACACTGCAAAGAGCAATTTCTGGAAAAGCTGGAAAGCTGTTCACGGTCTCCATTTGGCTCCTCGTCAGCCCCTTTCTGCTTTGGGTTCAAATTCCTGTCTTCTTTTTGTACCAGGGCTGAGATGGACAACACTGTTTTTCTTAAATGTGCAAAGTGACAGGCTAAGCAGAAGTATTCTTTTTATTTTGGGCTTAAGGAGGAAAGAGTTCAAAATTAAAATTTCACATTAATTAATGGCCAAAGTCTGCATTCAAAATAAGCATCGGAAAAGCGAATAGAAATACAATAAAGCAGGGGCTGGCCCCGTGGCTGAGTGGTTGAGTTCACGCGCACCGCTTCTGCAGCCCAGGGATTCTCCAGTTTGAGTACTGTGCGCTGACATGGCGCTGCTTGTCAAGCCATGCTGAGGTGGCATCCCACATGCCACAACTAGAAGGACTCACAGCTAAAAATACACAACTATGTACCGGGGGGCTTTGGGGAGAAAAAGAAAAGAAATACAAGAAAGCAAATAGACTGAATACATGCAGTCATCTTATTGAACCAATCTGACCAGCCAGGATGTAAATAAAAACTTTACTCTTCTCTCACTGGCACTTCACCTTGCTGTGCACGGCAAGTTCTTTAAATCTCGGAGATGTAGTCTTGGGCTAATCTCATAGAGTTCCCATCCATTGAAAGCACAAGAGCAGTCTCATTACAGTAACTAGGCCGTCTGGACCAGCGTCATAATAAAAACCTCAAGTTCTCACTCACTTGGAGCATCTCCCTCCACCCAGCTCGGTACATCTTTGGGTCTGGAAGCCAGCGGTGGGAGAGGGGTTGTGGTTGGCTTCTTACTGATGAGCTCGTGCCCTGCCCAGTAGCTGCTGTTTCTGACCCTTGTAGAAATGGTCCCAGAAGGGACTGAGGATAAGGAGAAAGGAGCTTGTACTGTCGTGATCTTGCCCCCTGAGCTTAGTGGATAGTCAGTGCTTCCTTTTACTCTTTTTGGGAGTGTCCATGGGATTCTTGAAGATTCCCTCACTGGGACTTTGCCATGGTGATTCATGGGGCAAGGAAATTCTTGTCCTAGGTCAGAGTTCCTCTCAAGCTGGTTCCAGAGCTCTCTCTCCTGTGGGTTCATTGGCCCACATGACACACTGGGGCATTCCTGCCTTGCCCTTGGCTCTCCCCTGCCTCTCTGTCTGTTCTGTGTCACAGCTTTACTATCAGTCCTATCCCTCCAAACTCTAGGGAGCACTTGTCAGGTCATCAAGTGACCCTTCTGAAGCCCAGCTTTGCTTCATGGTTGGGGGGGGTGGAGCACCCTCCTCCATTTTCCTTGGCACTTGGCTTTCCAACAATTCTTTTTCAAGGATGCTTTTATTTTCTCTGAAAACTCTTAAGCCTCCTCTTTTCAATCCTTACACATTCTTGATTTACGTGATGAGCTAAGGTGGCAAAACTGGTTTTCAGAAATCTCCTTAAGCAAATCCTTCACTGTTAGTTTAGCACCCACCTCACATTATAGTGAGGATAGTTGGCACCTGTTTGTTTTCTCTTCCTCTGGGACCTCAAGTGATCTGAGGCAGAGAGAGGCTTATTTTAATATTCTGTTACATAAGCCAATTGCAAAATAGCTTTAATCTGAGAAGGATATATACCAGGAACCAACATCAAATAGAAAAATAATATCCAAATTATTAACTGGTGGTGGGGTCCAAATCCCCCTCCTTCCCTCCCTTGTCCCTTCACAGGGACCAGCTGGGTGAGTTTTTGTCCACTATTGTGCATCAAGGAGTCACTGCGATTGGCCCTCCAGTCCCATCCCTTTGCAGGGAACTCAGCAAACCCATTACCTTCCCAGGTGGATGCTCCTTGCCTGCAGGTCTTTGTATTCTTTCCCTAAGCAGTTCCTGGAGACTGTGGGATCCTCGGGACCAAAGTGACGAAGGCCAGCAGGTTTCTCAACTCTCAGAGGAGTCAAAAGACAATCCTAAGGACAGCTGGCTTAGGGTTGGGCACCTGTTAAGAGCTCAGTGGCTAATGTTTTGATCAGGTGGGTTTCGGAGATTTCCCCGAAGGCACACAGCATTTGCAGCAAAGCTCTGCCCGGAACCGGTGTTGCCAGAATCCCAACCCAGGCTTTCTTCCATTTTGGGACACTGTTTCTCAGTTCGTTCTTGTTAGGCTGAGTTTGAGACACAGGGGAGACTTCATGGCAGAGGAGCACCATTGTCTTTATCTCAAGGACCCGAGGAGGGTCACTGGCTTCATCTTATTAATATCACCCTTATAAGTGTGTAGCACTTAATAGTTTACAGACAGCCTTCAAACAAATTCCCTCATTTTTTCCCCCTTTGAACATGATGTTAGCAGACACTGTACAGTGCTTGGTAGTTTACAAAGCACTTTCAAATAGTTTCGCTGTGTCCAAAACCCACTGGGGACCCCAACGTGCAGATGAGCAGAGCTAGAACTTGCACAGAGGTCCCTCTCCCAGAGCCCAGTGCTCTTCAGAAGAACACAGGTTTCTGAGCAGAAGGAGTGGGAGGCAGAGGGGTCACATGAGACGGCCTTCACTCATGTGAGTCAGTGTTCTGTTGACTCTTACCCTTGGAAACAAGCTGACAGGATGGCTTGTAGTAAACACCAACAGCGTGTCACTGACTTTCACTTTGTTGACAGATGAAGCAGTAATTTACCAGAGTTACTTTTGGTAACCAGATAATCCTCAAATTCTCTCTCCTCTGTCTTTAAAAATAATCTCCCTTCAGCTATTTGCCCAAATTCCCCAGGTTCCATATATGAACAGCACCAACAGAAACTGTCATTGGATCTGCACGATGGAATTATGATTTGGTTCTTATGCACCCAGACTGTCTCCAGTGGGTGCTTTATGGTCCATTAATAGATATATAAGTAATTTCTAGAGGTAGCAGAAAATCTAAGTCTGGGTTACAGTTTTGACATGATACCAATAGGTCCTTAAGCTAGAATCATGCATTAAATAGATCATTGCTCTGACTACTGAGGTGGCACCAAGGCTCATGTTCCCGTGGGTCCTTCACTGCTGGCATCGGCTACAGCACACAGGGCTGTGCCAGGACCCTCCTCTTTCCCTTCAAGAAGAAAAGTCTTACTGAAGAGCCGTATAACAGCAGCCCACAACTTGCCCCTTCTCCTGAAATCTCTTTATTTCCTTTCTTTCCAGGAATAACTGTGGTTCACAGTATTTGGGGTCTTCACCACGACTCTGCCATCTGGGAAAAGTCAAAGGCATGACTGTCTGACATGGAAGCACTTCAAAGAACTAATGCTGTGCAATTCACTTTTTGTTAGTTATGCATAGAAGTGGCCCATGACACAAAACCAAGAAAAATAAACATAAAAACCAAAAATGTAAAACTTTGCCACCAAAGGAAAACTGTCCTCTTCCCCTATTCCTACTTTGCCTTTGCTTTGAATGAACAGATTGCCATAATGTCACACGAGCTTCTCTAAGTTGCTGCAGTCTGTACATGAGTCATTTACTCGACGAGCTCTACCAAGCACTTACCTAGATATCAACCAGACTGTCGACTCAACAGTAATTCAGGCAACACAAACTCCCTTTGCTGGATGTAACAATCAGGATTCTGGTAGGAATCTGATGACACTCTCAAGCTGGGCAATTTGAGGAGAATTTCATAAAGGAAATTCTCCTCAAATTTCTATTTAGAAAGGTCTGGGTAGTGTTCAGGAAAAGGAAAATGGAGCAAATAACTGCTGAAGTCTGTGGAAATTAATTAAAGAAACCTTAACTTACTTGCAGCCGGGAAGGCCTTAGGGGGAGCTCTCATGCCCTATCACACATCATCAATTACACCAAAGGGGAAGAGAGGGATGCTTGCATCTTGGACAGGAAGTTGAACTACTTTACTACTGAAGGACGATTTCTCTAGCCACGTGGCCACAGCCCAGACAATGAGAAATGCTGTAGCTCAGACAAGGAGAAGGCATTGCTGCCGTGCACTGTTGATTTCCCCCAATGGACTTTGCTTTAGAACAGCCCTCCCCTACTCCCCATTTTTCTCTATAAAGGCAGCTCCTGATCTCTGTTTGTTGAATTTGCCCAGGGTTCGCCATAGCATGATCATCCCTAACTGCAATTCATTCAGCTATTCCTGAATAAACTCGTTTTGAGGCTTTTCAAGTTAATGAGTGCTTACCACTTGTAGGCCTGATGGGACATGGGAGAGAGGGTCACGAACCTGGAGAGAGACTGCTGCTGGGAAAGGCCATCAGACAGGAGCTGTGGCTTCAGTAGAACATGCAGCCAACTACAGGCAGCCTGGAAGGGTGGGGCACAGGGAATAGATAACCCAAACACTCTCTCCTCCCACCCTCCAGATAGCCTATTACTGTCTATTATTGGCTAAACCCAACAGGAAATTGTGTGGGTCAGCTTGCTGGAGCCCAGAGCAGAGTGGGAAAGGAAGGAGAGAGGATCTTGAGACAAGAAGATGTGTCCAGCATACCTCAGTTCCTTCATCCAATTTCTTGAAACTGAACACTCACAAAATGTAGAGACTTCCTGTTACACAAGCTGCTAGGGTTTAAGATCTATTACATGTAATGGGAAGTTGGACCGTGTGTCTCAGTAACAACAGATCACATAATCATTTCGGCTTGGCTTCTAAGTGAGCGCCCTCTTACCTCCAACGTGAACATAACTCCACTGGCCGTTGTATTTCTCCTTTCCCCCTACTTAGTCTGGGTAGCGGACTAGTCCCTCGGGAGGCCAGACAAGGTCTGTAGGTCTAGAGTTGCTCTGTGCAGTGTGGTAGCCGCTAGCCACATAAGGCTATTGAGTGCTTGAAAAGTGCCTAGTCAGAACTGAGATGTTCTGGAGATGTAAAATACACACTGGATTTTGAAGATGTAGTGCTGAAAGTTTGAAATATTTCCTTAGTAACTATTTATATTGAGTTCATGTTGGAGCTGTTACCACAAAAAATTGGGGTTCTCTTGCCTGATGCACATAAGCAGCCAATTAATTATGGCATCAGCCTTTGGGAGAAGAGATCAGCTTCAGTCTGTGAGATCAATCTGCAGGGAGGCAGGGGGCACGTGCCCTCAGACCTGTCTCCCCAATTCAGGGTTTGGGGTGAAATTTAAGAGGTTACCAAGAACAGGCTGGCACACGGAAATGCTGGCAGGACAGGTCTCGATTGGTGGGCCTCTAGCGTGTATGGTAAGGTTTTAGACATTTCTGAGAGGGTTCTAAACACATGATGAGGATCTAAACTTTTATGACAGGGTTCTAACCATTTTTGATTAGGTCGGAAATGAATTTTAACACTGAATCTTCCTGAAGGAGGAAACTCTCGCTTCTGATAACAGTCCAACTTTCAAATGTCGGTCGTGTCTCATCCTTGGGTCCCATGGGAAGGAGGATCTTTGGTTCCACAGTCATTTCAGTTCAGGATTTACTCTTATGTGCATGCTCTGGCTATGTGACTTTGCAGATTTCCTGAAAGACAATTCTTAATCACTCTGTTGATAAGTTGGTGTCATTGAATTGGTCCTGGAGGGCCCGCAGGTACAGAATGATGCTATTTTCTGTAAAATAAATTCTACCATTAACATTAATTTTGCCTTTTTAAAATGTGGCTTCCAGAACACTGGAAATTACATATATGGCTCACAGTATATTTTTGTTCATCAGTGCTAAGTAATAGCTTTCGAAATGTGTTAATGGTGTTCTGGATATGGTGGTGGGTTGCCCTCTCCTTTCTGGTCTTTGAGTCCTTGAGTTTCCCTTGGAACGATTCTGATCAGAGACACCCCCACTCCTTCTTACCGTTTTTAGCTGGACCAAGGTGAGGACAATGTGAAATTGTTGAAAAAACACAACAATGTTTACTTGGGAACAGCTTTCTCGCTTTAGCCCCTCAGCTCTATAAACTCTTCCACGGAACCCCATCTTCTCACCTGACCTTGAGGCCGATCTTGGTGCCTATTTGAACCCTTGAAAGGTCCAGTTAGTTTCACAAAGGACAAAGCCCTTCTCTATCACATCCTGAACAGCCGTGCTTCAGAAAGCTCTCCCATGTGAGCGAGGGGAAAATTCCCCCTTTCCCCTCTTGGTCCTTATGGACAAATTATGAACTTTTGAACAATTAAAATGACATAAGGCAGGTTAACAGGAGAAAATCAAACGGTCAAATATTTGGGAACAGCAAATTTACATAAGTGTGAAAAATTCTAAAGACAGTCAGGCAAAATGTGGAATATATGTCATTCTGGACTAGGGAAAAGGGGCAGGGGTCTGGATTTTCAAAGGAGAAAGGAGGCATTTACAGGAAGATGGTAAGAGTTCATATTTGGTAAACAAAAGTTGTTGGGCCATCTAGAGTCAATAGGACACAGAGAGGACTTTGATCCAATGGGCCTTGCTAGGTTCCTCCCTGTCTACCACGCCTAGTTCACATTATACTATAGTTCTCAATGGCGATAGCTCCTTCCTGAGACAGGCCTTCTGTCTTAAATTCTTTGAGGCAGTTAGAGGGAAGTTCAGAGTTTCTTCCTTAGTCTTTTGTTCTTAAAATAATCAGCCTAAAATAGTCCTCAAGCCAAAGAGACACATTTTGGGGTGGCAAACCCCCTGCACTCACAGTGTAAGGTGTTGCTCGTAGGCTCAACGCAGCCCCCCCGCCTCCCCCAACGCAGGAGAAACAATTCTTTTCCTTTTTAATTTCAGTTTACTGAGGTATAATATATGTATAAAATACTAAGATATTTAAAGCGTACATTGTGGTGATTTGATGTACATATAAATTGTGAAAGAATCTCCCCCACTAGTTAATTAATACATCCTTCAACTCACATATTTATCTTCTTGTGTGTGTGTGAGAACATTTAAGTTCTACTTTCCTAGCAAAGTTGAACTATACAATGCAGTGTTGTCAACTATAGGCATGATGTTTTCCATTAGATCCTCACAGGAGACACAAGGAGACACAATCTACGAACAAATCCAAGTACCACCTTGTTCGTGGAGGGCGTCATGTTGGAGGCTCCCAGCTCACATTCTTGCAGGGAACAATTGTCCAAAGTCCAGAAGTTTCCATGGCATTTACTGTGAAACTGTTGCTTTACTGTTAACATCCCAATTGTTCTAGTATCTCCTTAAAGAGTCAGG